ACTGTACCTTCTAGTCAAAAAAGCTCGTAGAAAGTTTTAAATTGTACTTTTTTTTTCTTTACCTCATTAGGAACACAAGCAACTTGTTTTTTTTCTTTCAGAAGTGTCATTATCTGCTTCTATTGTCTGTGTACAGGTGCTGGTCATAAAATTATAATATCATGAAAAAAGTTCATTTATTTCAGCAATTCCATTCAAAAAGTGAAACTTGTATATTATATTCATTCATTACACACAGACAGATATATTTCAAATGCTTATTTCTTTTAATGTTGATGATTATAACTGACAACTAATAAAACCCCAAATGCAGTGTCTCAGAAAATTAGAATATTGTGAAAAGCTTCAATATTGAAGACACCTGGTGCCACACTGATCCACTAATTAACTCAAAACACCTGCAAAGGCCTTTAAATGGTCTCAGTCTAGTTCTGTTGGCTGCACAATCATGGGGAAGACTGCTGACTTGACAGTTGTCCTAAAAACGACCATTGCACAAGGAGGGCAAGACACAAAAGGTCATTGCTAAAGAGGCTGGCTGTTCACAGAGCTCTATGTCCAAGCACATTGATAGAGAGGTGAAGGAAAGGAAAAGAAGTGGTAGAAAAAAGTGTACAAGCAACAAAGATAACTGCACCCTGGAGAGGATGGTGAAACAAAACCCATTCCAAAATGTGGGGGAGATTTACAAAGAGTGGACTGCAGCTGGAGTCAGTGCTTCAAGAACCACCACGCACAGAAGTATGCAAGTCATGGGTTTCAGCTGTTGCACTCCTTGTGACAAGCCACTCTTGAACAACAGAAAGTGTCAGAAGTGTCTCTCCTGGGACTGCTGCTGAGTGGTCCAAAGTTATGTTCTCTGATGAAAATAAAATTTGTGTTTCCTTTGGAAATCAAGGTCCCAGAGTCTGGAGGAAGAGAGGAGAGGCACAGAATCCACGTTGCTTTAGGTCCAGTGTCAAGTTTCCACAGTCGGTGAGGGTTTGGGGTGCAATGTCATCTGCTGGTGTTGGTCCACTGTGTTTTCTGAAGTCCAAGGTCAACGCAGCTTCTACCAGGAAGTTTTAGAGCACTTCATGCTTCCTGCTGCTGACCAACTTTATGAAGATGCAGATTTCATTTTCCAACAGGACTTGGTACCTGCACACAGTGCCAAAGCTACCAGGACCTGGTTTAAGGACCATGTATCCCTGCTCTTAACTGGCCAGCAAACTTGCCTGACATTAACCCCATAGAAAATCTATGGGGTATGGTGAAGAAGAAGATGCGATACACCAGATCCAACAATTCAGAAGAGCTGAAGGCCACTATCAAATTACCCTCTGACGACGCAGCTCTAACCCAGCCTCCCACACCTCCACTCCTCAGATACAAGCGAGGCACACTTCTTCTTTACCGAATTCAGAAAGTCCAAGCCAGAGTGGGAGACCCCTGAAGTCCCCACACGGACAGCGATGTCTGCAGAGGATTCACAGGCAGACATGGGACGGCCAAACTAGCGCTAGTTCTGGATCACAAAGTAGTTATACACCAGTATCCTCTCAGAAACCTGTAGGACCTGTCAGGTTAGAAAAAACTCACGTTGGCAATCATCAAATAATACTATCTGCCTGATCTGAGTGAATAACTTCCTACATAAACCCTTTCTTTGTTGTAAGTTCTTATAATTTGAAGAAATGTTCTAGTTCAGAGAAGACCACCTCATATCGCCGCAGCAGTGGAGGAAGCAGCCAGGAGGAGTTGTACTGCAGCCCTGGGGAAAATAACACAAGTTCCTCGGCTCCATCCTCATCCTCACCGACTGTGACCTGCTCCTCACGCTCTCGCAGGAATGTAATGTTACCCCCTCATACAGAAACCACAGGGTGTTGTTTTGTTAGTCTGCAGTCTTCAGTTTTCAGCTTCAGGACAGGAGTTAAACAATCATCCAGAGTTTGACCTTCCTGATGGTACACTGAGAACTGGATCGCATGTCTCCTGCAGGTTTCTGGCACCAGGCCACTGAAGCGTGTCAAGGTTTTGGTGGACTGCAGAGCAGTCAGCACTGAGCAGCTTGCTTTCTTTAAAGATGATGAGAATGATGAGATGATGATGATGAGAATGATTACACATCCCACCATAGGCACTGCCTGCTCTCTGGGGAGGGGGTGGGTCTGTGCCGGTCGTCACCTCATTCCCCCCATTTTAAATGCACTATATAACAACATGCATCAACACCTTATTTTAGTGGGAGGAGGGAGGAGTTGGGTCTTCCTGTTAATAATTTTTATATATATGTATATATGTATTTTTATTTATTTATTTATTTATTTATTTTCCATTAAAACCTCATTCTCTGTTTGACATTTGGGGTCGGGGGGGGGGGGGGGGTAGGCTGCCTGGTTGGGGTCTGGGCTGCCTGGGTGGGTGTTGGGCCTTGTGGGGCAATTGGGGGTGGGGGCGGTGCTCCAGTTCTCCCTGGGTTGTTTGGATCTTTTGATCAGGGTTCCTGGTTGCAATGGCCAGCCCTGTGGCTGGGGTGGCTGCTGGGTTCCAGCGGGGGGTCGGCTGTGGTTGTGTCTGTGTGGTCGTTGGTGGTGTATGGCGGCGGTCGGGGGCGTGGCTTCGCTTTGACGGGGTGCTGGTTGGACGGCCTGATGTGACATTCGCGATGGGGAGGACTGTGTGTGTGTGTGTGGGGGGGAGGGTGCATAGGTGGTATGTCGGGGCCTCTCCGGGCCTGTGGTGTGGGGCTGTTGGGGTGCCTGATATCATTGGTGTGCTGGGCCGGCCTTCCTCAGCTGCTGCTCCATGCTGCTCTGGCCCCCGGCCTGGGGCCGACTTGTGGTCGCTGTCGGGTGGGTGGGGCGCATGGACGGCCCAACAGAGCTGTCTCTGTGTGCTTGTTTATGTCTCGGGTTGGGTTTTAGGTGGTCCCCTCTCTTGGATCAATTTGGGCCCCCCATTTAATGTGGGGTCTACTTCCCCGTCGTGCTCCCCTCCGGTGGTGGTCCCCCCTGCCGCTGGTGCATTGGCAGGTCTCAGCAACTGGGGCTGGGTGTTGGGATGTGTGCGGGCCTGCCCTGGTGGCTGCCTACCGGGGCCTGGGTGCCCTGGCTCTGTTGGGCCTCTGTTGGGGGGTGCTATGGCCTCGGGGCTCGGTGTCCATGGCCGGATCTACTCTGGAGGGGCGGATTGCCGGCGGGACCTGTGGACTCGTCACTGCAGCCTCCTGGGGTTTCAGCACTGTTGTTGCTGGGGGTCGCCCGGGGCTTCCCTTTGCTTCTCTCTCTGTGGGGTGCGGGTGTCCCTGTTGGTGGACTCCCAGAGCTCCGGGATTGGGGACCGCTGTGTGTCTGTGGCTCCGGTCTTCCCTGTGTTACCATCGTGTCCTGTGGGGACGGGTCTGTGGGTTCCCACATCCACTATTGAACATTTTTATGGAGAAACCTTACAAGCATGCTCACACAGGTG